ATAATTATAGCTACTAAGTACTATTTATGTTTTTGTCACGCACAAAAATTTCCAAACCTTTGGAATAAATTAAACGACTAAAATGTACACATTACGAAACAAAAAAAAAAGTATAGTATACATATATATGTATATATTAGTTAAAAATCTGTGATTAAAAGTGGATTAGCAAATAGGGGAAGTTGAAAAGCAGAAGGAATCGTGCAAGGAATGTGAAGTTATGTATGAACGGTCGATGCTATAAATATGTAGAGAGTTTTGTTTGAGAATGTGCGAGAAGAGCGAATCGATTTAGAATAGCAAATGAGATTGAAAGAGAGAGAGGGAGAGAGAGAGAGAGTGAGGGATGATGGAAATTCTCGCTATATGGTATATATTTATGTATATGGTAGGTATATATATAGTAGATATTCGCATAAATAGAGCAGGGAGGACCCGGACTTAGGCGAGACGTTTTTTTCGACTAGGTGACAAGATTTTGAGCATTGTGACAACGGGCGCCTCGAACGACATCGAGACGACAAAGGATAGGAAATATGAGGCGACCGTCAGACCAAAGAACATGACGACCTGCCGAGAGAGAGGGAGAGAGAGAGAGAGACATATAGGGTGAGCAAAAGAGAAGGAGGTATGTGAGAGTTCCACTTACCATTAGATCTCCGCCCAGGTGGAGCGGCGCATCGGAATTGAGCGCCATGGAGCGTATGACTATGGGGTGCACCAGGTAGGCGCAGTAGGTGACACGGGAGAAGGGATAGAAGCAGGGCGCCGACAGCAGCGAGTTGATATAGCCACCATAGCCCGTCGAGCAGGCGATCGTGATCCAGGCCAGGGATAGCGCCCAGGCCGAATGACTCAGCGAGCTATATGCGGCCGCTGTGAACTGCGACAGATCGGCCCGGTACAGGCCGAAGACCAGAACGAACAGATTGAGCATCGCCAGCGTCCAGGCTGTGGCAACTGTCAGTCTCGGCAGGCGAATCTTGCAATTGGTGCGGAACAGTATCCAGCCGACAGCCATGCCAATCAGGTACGGGCCCAGTCTCGTCCAGGGTTTGTCGTAGATCTTGTCGAAGAGAGCCAGTGGATCGTCGGTGTTGGGTCTGTGGTTGTTCGTGAAGGCAATCACCGCTGTGGTTATCCAGGACAGCACCAGAAACACCAATGTCGTTATAGCCGATAGCTTAAAGTGACGCACGCCCACTATCAGGATGATAGCACCGATCATATAGAACTGGGTGTCATTCGCCAGGTACCAGCTCCACAACATGCACTGCGAAAGAGAAAGAGAGAAGAGAGAGGAGAAAGAGAGAGAGACAGAAGATTAGTAGGGTTTATGGGAATGTATAAGGATCGAGAGGTCCTTCAAGGGATCTCTCAAGGGCTGTTCGGACTGTTCTTCGAGGGATCTACCGAGGGATCTGTCGAGTGATCTGTCATCGGCTCTAATCAAGAACTTCTCGATATTGCGCCCTTGACGCTTTACCCACCATCTCATCGACGGGAAACAGCGTATTGATGTAGAGTATGTTGCGCCACCAGTAGTCCGGACAGGTCACATGGTCCATTGTGGGCGGATCGAATATGGAGTAGGCAGCCAAGTATCTCATAGTCACTTGGACCACGCCCAGCACGAACAGGTAGGGAGCCGTGAGTCTCATGAACCGATAAGCAACCAAGCCAAAAAAGTGAGCGGTGCCCGCTGTGAATTCGTTGGCGCCCTTGCTCAGCTTGTTCAGCTTGCCCTTGGCGTTCGTGCGGAAGTACAGATAGGAGATCAGAAAGCCGCTGATGAAGAAGAAGGTGTCGACGCTGAAGGGTCCGTTGGTGATTGCTTGAAAGAAGAAGTTCTGCTCGACCTCCTTGCGCATCTCCATGTTGTCCGAGTACTTGAACACCACAATGCACGTGTGTCCGAGGATCACCCAGGCCATGCTGAAGGCGCGCAGGCCATGGATGCAGGGTATTGTGTCGGCGCCCACGTTGCGGTCGCAGATGGCATTGAAGTTCGTGATTGCCGAGAACGAGAGCAGCAGCTCCGAGTAGATGCTTAGCTTTTCGGGCTCGTGCAGGTGGCCCTCCAAGTGCTCGTCTGAGTTGCTGTTGTTGTTGTTGCCGTTCTTGTTGGCCGAACCTGAGACGACGCCGCCGCTGCTGCCTCTGCTGCCGCTGCCGATGCTGACGCCCTGATGATGGCGATGATGATGATTGTGATGKTGATGATGATGCACATTGATGCGCTCGTGATCGTGATGCTCCAGTTCGTGTTCGTGCTCATGTTCGTGATCGTGATCGTGCTCGTGTTCGTGGTCGTGCTCGTGCTCGTGATGATGGCCATTGCCGCTGTCATTGTCGCTGGGCGGCAAGTGAAGCACCAGCTGATCGAGCTGCTTCAGCGAATCGGACTGATTCGATTGCTTCAGCGCCTCCTCGTGGGCGGTCATTGTGTCGCTGTAGTCGGAGGAGGCGCAGCCAATGCCCGAGCTCGTCTCACTGTTGTTCATCATCTCCTTGTCCTGCAGGCGCAGCGCCTCCTTCAGCTGGCGGGTCAGGTAGATCTCGTAGAGTGTGCCGCAGCAGATCAGTCCAAGCACAATGCAAGAGACCACACTAGAGCGAGGGAGAGAAAAAGAGAGAGAGAGAGAGAGAGAGAGGGAGGGAAGACGACTGTTAATATGATAACCAAATAAGTGGATGTCGTGGCGGGATTAGTTTCGCTTCTTCATCTTCATTTT